GGCACTCAATCAAAGGCTTCGGCAAAATCTGTGAAAATCGCATGTGAGATTTTACTATCATAATAGGCCTGGGCTAGATTTTCGATGACATAGCATATTGCTGTTGCATGATCTGCTAGGATCAAAGCCGTGTTGAAAAGAAGAAAGAAGGTTTTTCCCCTCAGGTGTTCAATAAAATGTCTCTTAATGAGACGTTCAAACATTTTGCTGGGGATGCTCGTTAGACTTATAGGTCTGTAGCTACTGGTGCCAGGCCGGAGTGCCTTTTCTAAATTGGTAATATGATTGCCTTTTTCTGAGCATCAGACAGTTCACCTTTATAATGGCAGTTCTGGAACAGACGCCCGTAATGTGGGGCTAGTACAGCTGCTGTCTATTTCAGTAATCTGGTATAGACTTCGTTTGGACCCATTGAGCTAGAAGGGTTTAGTGGCTTTAGAAGTTTCAGTACTTTTTCGGTCTGAACAATGAAGTGTATATATCTGGGGTATATATCTGATGTATTTTGGTGGAAGGAAAGAAACTAGGTGAAGCGAAGTTGAAAATATCTTGGATGTAAGTTCGAAAGGTGTCCGCTATCTTCTCAGGTGGGGTAATTGGGGAGCCGTCAGGAAATGTCAGGGCTAAAGTAGTGCAACTTAGTTGCCTTTTGTGCCACAGAAGTCTGAAGAGGCAGGAGGGGTTTCTTCTACCCCTGACCAAGATATCATTATGTTGGCTGTTGAAGAACTTCCTAATCTCGCTCTAGCATAGATTCTGGATATGTTTCAATTTATCCGCTTCACTATCCAAGTTTGCGAGATTATATCTTGCAAAGAGAACGTTCCTGTTCTGAAGATAGGTCAACATAAGTCAGATTTGCTGGCAAGTTATCTCTTAGAGCAGCGAAGTTGGTCGGTTTGAAGGACCGCATGACCCTTGATGCTGACTCATAAGATGGCCTATGAAGGATGAATAGAAAGCTCAGAATTAATTGGTTACTCTTGCCAAGTGGGCAGAGCATGTAGACCTCGTCTATTTGGTGCCCATTGTTCGTTATCACTAAATCGAGTAGGAAAGGGAACTAGCCCGGGCGAAACCTGGTGAAAAAGCACACATGTTGGTGCCAGAATCTCTCAGTAATTTTCATTGCTAGGACTCTCTAATTGTCATTAGTGGAAGCTGTTCTATTGGTTCAATTTATCAGTCCATTTTTGCGACGGTTCTGAAGTTCTGGCAGTAGATTGCGCGATAACGTGCATGCTTCCTCTACTTCCCTCCCCCATTCATCAGCTAGAAACCAACCCTAGACTGTTTCGCATTTCCGGCTTCTATTCCAGAGATATTCTGCTGTAAGATTGACGGCGGCTCCTGTCGGATCGGTACGATACTCACCGTTGAAGAAAACTGAAGTAAACCAAAAAACCAAAAGCTGAACTCTATGAAATCCTTCATCGATTGGACCGTTTCATTAAACAAACTCAATGTTGAGTTGCAGGCTCACACGCAGCAACCCAAGTGCCCCGTGTTTTTTATTGATGATAGAAGACCTGGCGAGGCCTCTAACCTCTCCTCCCCGTTTTGACCAGATCACTCTCGCCCAAATAGTGATTTTACTCAGGAGCCAGTCTTACCGACAGGACTTTATATAACCATTTTTTTCAAACAAAAATCTTCCGGCACAGACACAAAAAACCTTCAAAACAGTTCCACCCATCCAGTTTTTGTGTCTTTTCACCTCCACACGATCAACGTTTGACATATTTACCGCAAACAGTATGCGCAGTTCTCATTTATCTTCGCTGATTGAACTCCGTTCTAGATAACACAAACCCATCGACATGTGTACACGTTTTCATTTCTTACATTTCCGCCTCTGTGACTTTTAGTCTTCATATCTTCCTATCCACAGAACAATAACCTGTCAAAAATGTGCTACATTGCTCACCTTCCTTTTCAAAAATTTCACGAATGAACAAAATTGTCCACTGATCGTTTTGTGTTTATCTTTGTGTCTCGCGCGCAAACAGATAGCGCTCCGTTTTTTTTCTCAACCCCCTTAACTGTCGACCCGAACGTTCTGCCATTTATTGTACAAAATGATCGTGTATCTCAGCATGCGTCACGACTTTCGTTGTGAAATATGCCATTGTTATTGTTAATAATATCTCGAAGGAGCTAACCCTAAGAAGATATCACTGGAGTTTACCCTAATCCAGTCAATGACTGGAGGGTCAAAATCACCGGTTATAAGGACGTATGTAGAGGGACAGCAAGAATGAAGACAAAGAAGTGAGTTTAGAAGGGTCTGTGTCTGCTTCTGGTTGCCGAATTGGAAGCGATAGATGACTCCTAAAACAGGAAATCTCTGTTGGAGAAAGGTATGTTTGCCTACCATCATGTTGATGGGATCCTGTGGAACTGAGGTGGCTGTAGAAAGGAACTGGCTCAAGTAGATAGCTACGCCACTGGCGCGGCCTTGGTTTGAGTAGCTCCTCAAAAGTGTATAGCCATCTATTTTGTCTTTCCCGTCTAAGATATCTGGTGTTAACCATGTCTCTGTTAGAATTCAAATAGAGGACCGAATATCTTTCATCTTTAGTTTGATTTCAAATACCTTATTAGCAAGGCTGAAACAGTGAGTATACATGCATTTTAGCATTTGTTCACCAGAAATGTCTAGAGTTTTAAAATAAAAAGGGTGTCTTGAGACTTGGTTTCCATCGGAGTTGCGTTTGGAAACTGCTCCTTCCCCTTGCTCTTGATTAAGGGTTTTGGCTCCTGCGCACGTTTCCGATTCCTGCAGTTTGAGTACGGGGGAGCTCCTGGGGTTTGTTTTTGCCTGCTTCTTTTGCTTCTTCCGGTGGGGCGGATAAGGTTCTATCTGGTCTGGGGGTCGAGGCATTTTGCCTGCTTTGGGAAAAGGTAAAGCGGCGGCTTTTCGGTGATCTGTGAGTTTTAGGGACATCCGTGGGGCGATTTTTCAAGCCAATGGCTTGAGCTTTTGTGGAAGAATGACAAGTGTTTTAGGAAGAGTGGGAAGGTGGAAACGCTGTTTAAGGGGATTTGCTTGTAGAGATTGAGCAGCTTGATTTAAGGTAAGCGAGGGACTCCCTAGAATTCCATTTTTTGAGGGTTGCCGCTTTTCCTGTTTACTTCCTGCTTAAAAACCTTTAGTGATTTTGTTTGTTGTTCCTGCAAACGGGTTTTGTTTTCTCACTAGTAAGCCTGGAAGTCGGTTCTAGGAAGCTTCGGTTGGCAGAGAGGGCAGGCTCCTTGTCCCTCCGAATGCAGAAGCTTGTATTCGGGGCGCTGCAGGCTAGAGAGACAGAGGATAATTCAAAGATAGGTCTGTGGGAGATCAAATGGTCAGCAGGGATAGGAAAGTACGTGAGATTTACGACAATCTTCTGTAAACGTTAACCATTCCTTTGTTATCTCTTTGGGTAACATGGTGGCAACCTTGTAGGGATGGGTTTGTTTGGTGCCACTCCCCTCACCAGTTTGTTGTTTGACTGTATTTTCCGTATTTGTGCAATACAGTCCGTAACAACTGTTAGGTCTTTAAACCCCACTACTTGTCCCAGAACCCGTTTCTTATGTTTTGACACTTGCCATATGAACCAACAAGGATGAGGTATTTTCGAGGAGGTGAGGTTTCCTAGGAGAATTTTTGCCTTCCGGGGAGAGGTCTGGTCCTTAGGAGAACGGCCTCATAATATCACCATCCTTGCGCAAGCTTCTTCAACAGTCAGCGTTCTGGCTGTATCTAAGGTATCTTGTTTGGGTATATTAATCGCCCGCGAGGCAGTCTTTGTTGTTTGGAGCTCATTTCGGATGAACAACCTTACCTTCGAGAACTGTTGTCCATGCCGTAAGATATGAGCCTTCATGTCTGCTAGCTCCTCGGCTTGTGACCTTAATGCTAGTCCTTCCACAAAAGGGGATGTTTTGGTCATAGTGTCGTTTAGACACATAAAAGTGTCAGCATCTATGTCTAAGGGACTTTAAAGCATGGGGGGAGTACTTTCACTCGAGTTTTCAGACCTAATTTGGCTATGAAGCAGAGAAGATTGAATGAGATAAGGAGATAAAATTTCCAATTCAGAATGAAATGGAATTGTCAAAAAACGCGCAGATTGGGAGTAAACTATCTAGATGCATTAAACGCGAGAAAATTAGATTTCTAAGGTTCCTTTAATGGAAAGATAAAAACAAATGTGTAAAGATGCGTAAAAGCGAGTGATATACCACAACCGAATTGTCTAATATTTTTTGAGGAGAGCATGTCAAAAGTTTCAAATTAGCCTCAACTCATCAACTCGCCAACTCTCTCCTCGGCCTCGCTGCAGCCAGTACACACTGGGTCTGCCAATGAAACTCTCCCGCCACCGATATTCTTAAGTCCCTGCTGGTTCTACAGATCCCTGCGGTGAAACATCCTCCACCTAGAGGGATTGACAATTATTTATCAACACGAGAAAGTAACTTACTTTTCTCTGCATTCGTTGGGAGGTCCCATACTGTTGCACTGTGCAGGTCATCCTGCTATTGCCGCCGACTGGCTAATCTTACTATCTTGACATCATTTGAAAAGATGAAGCATAGCGAATGTAGGATGGAAGCCAAGTCGTCTATAAAATGAGGAATAGTAGGGGCCAAGCGCTGGGCTCTGTGGTACTCCACTAGTGGGTATGGCTTTGGCTGATACTCTGTTCCAAATCCCCACCTAAAACCTGTGACCGGTTATAATTTCTCTGATCCAGTTACATATCTTTCCGCCTATCCTCTTGTGTTCGAGCATAGCTAACAGCAACATGTGGTTGATGGAATCAAAAGCTTTGCAAAAGTCTCAATAGCAGACGTGCGCAGCTCTGCTCTCGTCTGGCCCCAAAGTTACCTCATCTAAAAAACACAGTAAGTTAGATAAGCATGTTCTACCCTTGGTAAATCCGTGCTGTTGATCAGTGAGCAGCCAGTTTTGGGGTAAATACTGTGCAATGTACGTCCTCACTATCCTTTCAGGGCACTTCCGCAATATACTCGTAAGCCTCACCGGCTTTAATCTTAAGCTGGGATTGTGCGCTTACCTTGTGAATGGCAATAATTGCAGCTGTTTTCCAGTCTCTCGGTAGCTTGCCTTGATCTAGGCTGGCTTCGTATAACTCGCTTGGCGGTCCCGCTACTATATCCGCGATCCGGTTGACAATTGCCGGGTGGATTTCATCGGGACCTAGAGAATTCTTTACGTTCAGCTCAGGTAAGATCCGATGAACTGCTTCTAATGCCTTATACGTATCTTCTATTTCTTCTGTTAAGGGGCGGAGCAAGATCCGGTAGTGCCAGGTCGCCGGAATCTACTCTGTGCTGGTCAGGTCAGTTTAGGTCAGTGCAGTTTGCACATGACAGAAAATGGTTACGGCCAACTGAGCGTCCAGAATTCCTTCGGTGGTATACGGTCAAGTATGGAACCCAATACTGCAAAAATCAGTCCGCAACTTCCTGANGATAGATCATCTCACCAACGCCAGAGATTGTCATTCCTGAGCGTTCATCTTCCAGGCTACATTCCAATAAATGGCAGGACAAAACAAAGAATATGCAACCTGAATGTGGCGCTCCTTCTACTGGTTTTCTTAAGCCCATTTATGGATAATGGGACCCAAAATTCAGGAACAAGTTCACACCACCGTTCGGCTGAGGCCGTCGTGAAAGCTGGCACAGTCTGCAGTTCTACTAGCTCCAAAGGTGGTCTGTTCCAAATGTTCACTACCCCGTTGCTAAAGAAGTGTAACCGGGCGATCTATCGAGACCGGGCCTTGGCTAGCTTCATTTAGTGTCATGGGAATCTAGCACATCCTGGAACAGTGTTTCTGGTCTGATACCTGATAAATTTCCCATTATCTTAGAGGTTTCTATCATATCACCCCTGAGCCTTCTCTTTTCTAAAGAGAATACTTTCAGGTCCTGAAGCATTTGTTTGTATTTGTGCCATGCTGACCATTAACCCTTCTTGTTTCCAGCCGTTCCAGCCGCTCTGAACAGGCGGCAGCTTTTTGAAAAAGAGTGACCAGGTCTAGAAACAATACTCCAGGTGGGGCTTTACTAGGGTCTTGTACAAATGTATGAATAACTTAGATTGACGGCACTGAAACGCTGACCTTAGTCTAAATAATTCACCCCTGTGCTAATTTGGTACATTGATTTGACCACCTAAGATCAGCGATTACCAAGATTTCTAAGGCTTTTACATTTTCCGTCGCCTCCAGTTTGAACGGATCTAACTCGAGGCCAAATGTGATACTCCATACGGCTCGTGACAGAGGTTGGCATTTGCCAGCATTCAGCGGCAACTTGAAGCACTGAGAACAGTATTCGAAATGGAGCTCCAGAATTCCAGCAATACCATTCCTCGAATTAGAACAACTTCGAATCGAATAGCACACGTAATTTATTCGAATCTTACACTAAGTATATTCAGTGCATTTAAAGTGTACAAGGAATTTTCGAGGTCAGTGTCAAATATCACACTCGCGCACCTTGAATTGACCATAGACTTTCTGTAATCCACTAGGGGCTTCCAACATAATCTTTCAGACCTTCGTAGGACTCGTTGATTCACAAATAGTTCTTCCGTAGCAGATTGTTGTTTAAGTTTCTTTTCATCATTATCATTGAATTGCTCCACAGCTATAGAAAGACTCGGAATATTCATCATGGAATGGAACTGTATTGACTTGACGAAGAACAATACCCTGACGCCAGCGACTGATAGGTTGGGTACGGGCAGTTAGGTAGATAAGGGGGAACCATGGCTGGGCAGTTTTTGATGTGTCGAGCCGGCGTGGTGAATTTGTGGGACGATGTATTGACGTGGTTGGAAAAATTAATCATACCTTATGTTTTGCTCCGGTTCGATTACCTGTGCACTCATGTGACCAATTTCACAGATGACCTTCGAATGTACTTTGCCTATCATCATGCTCCGATTTGGTCCGACGACATACTTTGTACTTTGTTGCTTTTGTTCACATACCACTTCTAAGCGTTCCTCGTCCCACTCATTTGTGCGTCAACTACCCTTATCGTCCTTGAACTCTGGCTGTTCCGCGCTTGCCATTCTCGTGCATCATTACATACGAACTAACCTGGATCCGTTCCCCTGCCCTCGTTTGTTTCTAGCACACTGTCATCCCGTCCTCTTTATATTGATTTTCATATTTGATCATTCGCCTCATTTGCTTAGCGCACTGCTTTTTTCATAGGATCCCGTGAACCGTTTGGTTGCTTTGTATTAACCAATGACTGCACTTCATTATCGGACACTTGTGATTGGTGTTTCTATCCCTTAAATTGTCTCTTCTCTAAGCTTAGTTTGCATTCCTTTTGGTGACCGCTCCGCAGGTGCTTTGCTCTGCGCCTTGACCCGCTTTGTATCTTGTTCTTGTACCGTGGAGACCGGATTGACCCACAATTTGAGGTGTGGGGATTTTTGGACATTTTTGTCTGCTTGTAGTACACGTAGAGTACCGACTTCTCTTTATCTGGAATCGGACTTGTGGTTCGTATCTACGAGCCACTCAACCGGTGGATGACATTTTGGTACAGTACTCAAATTATACAGTCGCTCCTGGAGACTTGGTCTTTACGTGAACTGTCACGGTCGGCCGGAATTTCCTTCGAACTCGAGCTATGTTTGCGGTAGCTGTTGGTCCTGTTTCAGGATACCCGATGACGGAAACAAGCAGCCGAATTCGAAGAGTTTTGTACTCCACCAACGGGAGTACTGATTTGAAGGCCCGATGCTGCTCACAACGAAACAAGCCGCTGCAGGGAGGACAAGCCCATGGCAGTAAGGCAAGTCACCTATAATGCTGTTTCATGCCTTGGCCCCCATAATAGTGCTAAGTCTCATGTTGGTCTTGCCCGTTCCAAGTTACTTAAGGCCCAAATTAGAGAACGGCACTTGCTGGCCAGCCAGCGGTGTTCAACTTTTCACCCAGTCTCTATTCAGTACACTGGTCAAGCTACAAAGCTGATCAG